TCATAAAAAAGAGCCTAATACCCGAGCCTTATCTTTATCAAATTCCAGAACCAGGTGAACGCTTTGAATATGTTGTAGTTGAGAATAATTCATCACAAAAGGTAGGTGACAAAATGGAGTACCCAGAAGTGGTAAGACATCTTGGTAAAAAGATCGATATTAACTATTATCTGAAAACCGTTATCGGGCTCTGTGCACGTTTTATAAATTATGATGATAGACACCAGCCATCATCTGAAATTTTGCTAGAAACCTTAAAAATAATAATGAAGTGAATGAAGACGAAGTGAATAAGGACGAAGTGGATGAAGAGGATGAAGACGAAGTGGATGAAGATAAGGTATCAAAAATAAGAGATGCATTAGCGCAGAAATCAGCTGAAAAGCGGGTTAGAGGATATATCAAAAACCTTCATGAAGGTCTAAAAAAAGATGAGACTATCATAGCCCATCTATAGAAAGAAGCACATACTTATGCGAAAAATTTATATGATACTACTTATGCTGATAAAATAGTAAAATGCTCGGGAAATGATGCTTATTGGTCTTATTTTCTCAGCGCATTAGATAAGCAGGAGGAATCAATTCGCATAAAGCTAATGACATTACTTGCAGAAATTTTCCAAGATGATATAGGGAGCAGAGAAGAAATATATAAATTTGTTACTAAGGCCGATAAGCACAAATCTAAAGCCATGACCTTAGAAAAATATATGTTAACATATATTCAAGAAAATGGATATGAAATATTAGCTGATTTGCAGAGCACGTGGTACAAAGTGGTTGGCCTAGAAATCACATGCTATCGAGCGTCATCAAAGTTACAGGGCGATAAAAAAGATAATTCATCTGAAGCGGATATAGATGAGATCATCGAATTATATGGTTAAGTACTCTTAGTAAGGTCTGGTAATTCTAGCTAAGAAAACTTAGTCATAAGATGCTTTGTATAATATTATTTATATTTTTTTTCGTGCAATAATACTAGCTAACTTCAATTCCTATATTCAATCTTCCGGCCTCTGATATGTATTTCTTTTTTCGAATTTATAAGAAAAAAGATATTAGTATTTTTAAATATATGCTTTCATAGTATAATGGCTAAACTGCGTGACCAACTTTCTCAGTACATAGGCTTCGAACCTAGTGAAATCTCCCTTCCAATTACAGAGGAGGATATGCAAGAATTTCGTAAAATAATAGCAGATCAGGAGAAAATGACAGAAATTGTAATGGATGAGTATTGATTTTTGCTACGCTATGGGCATAATGGTAAGGGCGGTAACTGGATCCATATTGGCTGGTTAGTAGCATATACAGTATCTCAAGCTGAAAAGGTCTTAATTAATCTGCCCGAAGATTTATCAGAAAAGGTATTAGCTCATATTGAAAAAAGATTCGAAGAAGTCCCACTAGTGCCAGTACTCATACAGTAGATATTTAGGTGTTATCCCCGGCCTATCTGGTACCTTTGGTACCTCTTTTCTATTTATACATTTTTTGTGGGCGGGATATCCGACTTTTTCTTTTGGCATGATGCTCTCCAAATTCCATAGCTTTTTCACAACGACTAACCATATAATTACGATTATAGAAAAAGCAATATCGAGCAGGTGAACACCGATGATAGTAATTTGTCTATATCAATAGAGTTCCCCGAGCCACCTAATGAAATCTTTTCTTTGCAAATAGTAGCAGGTATGATTTGTTCTGAAGAAGCGCTAGAGCTCTCTGGCTTATTATTTTTTTCGCCACCACTTTTTGCATATGAATCGGTTCTCTCAGGACCATCTGGCTGATTATTCTCATCAAAGTATCCTGGGGGAAATGAATTAATCACAGATTGAAGCGATTTCACTTCCTCCGATTTTGCATAATATTCAGCTTTATATTTGGCGAGAGATGTCTCCGCACAAGCATATTGGGAAAAAAGTTTAGAATTTTCAACCTTCAACCATCTGGCCTCATCATTAATCTTCATGTATTCATTCCGCAACTTAGCATTATAATCCCATATCCTGGATGAGTCTTGTAAGATGCAATGTATCTCTTTTCCAAGATCATATGTTCCCATTTATTTACATTAGCCATAAATATATAAAAAAAACTTTCAAATTTTATGTTAGAGAATAATCACAATAAATAAAAAATAAACACGAAGGTTATCGATTGTTTTATTATTATTTTAGATAGCGTATTAGAATGTATTCTACCCACCTAAAACAATAAATTATGCTTTCTAACGTCCCCTCTCATTCTAAAATAATAAATATTGAATTCTATTTTTTTTTATCCATCTAAAATGATAAATATTAATGCCTAATATTTTTTATGCATCTAAATACATTGTCTAAAAATATCGGAAGATTATGTCTACTTTGATTTTAAAAACCCATTATCGGCGGGGTGCCACCATTTTAACATCTGGACAGATTGAAGAAATTAGACATCTCAAAAATAAGGTCCTGGTGTACATGATAATAAATGAGTACCATATTAATAAAGATTGTGTTCATGATATATGGAACGATTGTGAGCGTTCACAGCAAAATGGAAACCACTTTTTTGAGAAGCTTAGAAAAGCACAATCTATCTCTTCGAAGAATGATTCAGAAGTTCATGCTAAACAACCTTGCGAAGCGCCTGAGAAGTCAACTTCAAAAGATTCATCTGAGATTGTGGGGGTCTCTCTGGGACCATCATCCGCTGAGATGAATGTGCAAGAAAAGCAAAAAAAGAAAAAGAAACTGTTAAAGCATGGATTCATTCGAAATTCTAACTTATCTAAAATTTTGGCTGGAGGTCCTTGCCAAAACTTCTTACTAGATGTCTCATATGATCTAATTGTTTCGATTCAAAAAGATCGTATAGAATCAGAGGAATCCATATGTGAATCAGAAAAGCTCTTTGCTCTCAACACGCTTCGCTAAGCTAGTTAACAAGGAAAAAGGGATCGGAGTTTTTTATTAATCTCAATTAATTTAGCTTTGGAAATGAGAGTGTCGTATAATATTTTTTTAAGCTCCTCATAGCTTATGCATTTTTTTTTAATACATCATCATACCTATTTAACTCCTGTGAGTCCTGTAATATGTTATCCAGAGTCGAGAAATTATCAGATTCGGAAGTAATATTCGCACAATTCACCTCGAGCTTGTTCTTGACTTTATGCATAGTAACCGGAATGATATAATCCTTTCTATTATGAGGGAACTTTAATTCGTTTTTACCCCAATCCACGGCGCAATTATATTTCTTTAAAAGCTGGTTAGAAAATATTAGGGTTGGCTTGTTATATCTCACAACAACAAAATCTTCATGAATGGTAAGTTCAGGAGCTAGAGTAATAGGTAAATCACGAACCACTCCAATAGATTCAACTGGAACGGTAGCGATGCCACTGAGATCATGTGTTTCAGACTTATCAATTTTAGCCTTTACGCGATCAACAATATTTTCGGTTACTATAGAAGGCTCTGCTCCAGAATCAAGGGTCATAGCGGGGATTTTTAAGCGCTTAATTTTACATTTTATAGTTGCAACGCTCGTGGGTGGCTCCTTCTTCTTGACGAAATCAATTTCCATCAGACCATCCAAATAGTCTTCCTCCTCTAAACTGGATTCATCTGGAGTTGAATCTTTGAAAGATGATGGTGTGTCGTTTTGAGATTTTATCTTCTCCTGTATGGAAACTATCTGTTTGGACACAACAGGACTAGAGTCTTAGGAAAAATATGCAGGAAAAATTAATTTAAGTTCGCTTTGGAGGATTTTATGAATAGTTTCCTCTAGTGGAATTTCTCTTGATTTGGCGCTAGACATCTTTTTAAGGGATGATTTCATGGAGCTAGAATCCTGCTTCATTTTTTTTTTAACTTAGCTATGTTAACGGTGATATTACCTCCAGAATCGGAGGAATCCTCTGAACTTCTATCAGAGTCAGAACTATCACTAGAAGAAGTATTAGAAGAAGAAGTACCTGAATCCAAATTCGAATCTACGGTAGCGATATTAACCTTACCCTTTTTAGACTTCTTACTTCTCTTTTTCTTCTTTCTAGGGCAATTTCAGGAATTATGTTCAGATCTTCCGCAGGTGGAGCATTTGTGACCTGATGATTTCTTAACAGCACGTCTAATAGCGGTTTTTATGACACTATTTAATGTTAATCCTACTAAACTATCTGAAATATCTTCTATAGAATCATGATCATATTCATCAGCAGGGTGTTTACCTAGATTTTTTCTTAGTAAGTCACTCAAAAAGCGATTAATGGCAGTATCTTCCGCTCTCTTCTTAGATGATTTTTTACTATTATCTAGAGTTTTAGTCACTCGAGACATAGTCTCTTGCAAGGATTTAATGGAAGACTGCAAATCAGCATTTTGTTGAGCTGTTTGAGACTCTGAGGATGCCATTACGGTTTTTATCAAATCCACAATTTCAGTTTTAGTTATTCCCGATTTGTTAGTGTCTATATAGAGATGTAGAGATTGGCTGCCAGAAAAACAGGAAGAGAGGATGATGCATTTCTTTGAAAAAGTGTAAATTTTTCCACTTCAGCTAAAGCTCTTGTGATATTTTCCTAAGTATCCTCAAATTTAGCCATCATTCAAATATTATATTGGTTTATAGGATTTAAGCCACAAATAAATTACTCTCTTTGTTGTTCGGGTGACATTCCGGCCAATTTACCAACCTTTTTGATTTGAGTGGAGAACTCTTCAACACCCATATCTCCTTGCATGAGTTGACCAAAAACTGCCATTTGTTTTAAGTGTTCAACCGTCATATAAGAAGTACTAAATAGATAAAGGAGTTGCCCAAGCTTAATACCAGGAGCAATTGTAACAGCAGGAAAACCTCTGCCAGCATTTGGTATAACTGGTGCATTATCTGTAGGTTCACCACTGGCTATAGACCAGTCTTCATCCTATGTTCCATTCGGAATAATATCAGCACCAGTTGTGACACCTGCTCCAATTCTACCAATTTCTGCTCCAGCTTTGTTACGAAATTCTCCTGCAGTATTCAAACCACCAATCTGATTACCACCATTTCCAGCACCTATTCCTCGAACAGCAGTTAAAGTAGCTACACCTAAGTTACCTGAGAGATTATTACATCTCCAATTTTTGCCCTTAATGCGGGTATTATACCAATTTAATGCAGGGCCCACAAGACATGATATTACCAATCCAAATGCTCTTCTCTTCCAGCGACCTGACCTGCACCAGGTGCAACATTTATTCGACTAGCTACTATATATCTTTGCATCTCTCTGAGCCAATCCTCTGGATCTTCTCCAGGATGACCATGAAATATTGGGGGTCCGTATTCTACTATTCCTATTCATTGTATATTAGGTGGGTTATTCTGTAGTACAAAAATTTGTTGATTTAAATTTAAAATATTCTGGCATTCTGCATGGGTCTTATTTTTCCATTTTTCATATCGTTTATAGAGTCTGTCTCTATTATATTCTAACAAACCTCTATCGGCTCTGCATCGCTATAGGTGGTGGGCATTTCGTCGATATAAGATTTGTAAGGCAAAATTTTTATATAGCAATTCACTGATGCGGGTTTGTTTTCTTGCCATATTATCTATCATTCTATTTACTTGGTTTTGTGCATTAGTTCGCAATTGCTGAAGATCAAGCAATGCCTGGTCTCGCTTCTGCCTGTACGTATTTTGGTCCCATCGTACGTTTACCAGATCTTGTTGCAGGTTAGTGTATTTACGTTGAATTGCCCTAGTTGATCTTTTAATTTGATTTGTTAAAATAGTTTTACATATTGTTGTATTTTCTAGAGATCGGTCTATAGCATCAGCCAATTCAGCTATTGTATCCATATTATCATCAGAATTATACAAGTTTAGAGAATTTTCATCAGAATCGGATTTATTTTCGCCAAAATTCCATGTCTGTGCGTTTTGTAAAGCCTCTTGTATATTTCTAAGTTCTAATCTATCTCGATATCTTAATAATGCTAATGCAAAATTTTGATAAAGCAGGTCTGTAATATGATTTTTTTGCTGATTTATTTTATTAATCCTATTTATTTGATTAACCCTTATTGTATTTATTTCTCGCTTAAGGCGTTCGTTTTCGTATACTAATCTGGTTGTATAGTTTTGTGCTTTAGGCGTATTTCTAGCTGATTTAGATATCTTCCATATTTGGTTTTTTAATTTTGTCTCTCGTTCATCGAATTCGGTTATTAACTCATTCTTATTTGAAATTTCTTTATCTTTTTATTTTCTTCCTCGAGTTGGCGAACGATTCTTTTTAATTTTGAAATTTCTTCTAATAATTCTTCTTTGTCTTGTCTTGAAAGTTCGATAGTGTTATTTAACTCTTCTTCAAGAAACCGTATTCTTTCCTCTCATATGCCGATAATTCTTTCTAAGGTGTATAGACGTTGTTCGAAATTCCTATTTGATTCTGCTAATTGCGTCACTGCCTCATAAAGCTCTTGGTTAGTTTGTTGTAACTCATCCATTGTTTTTTATCAATATAATAAAACAAAGGAATGGGAAAACCAGTTATTTATATTGATCCAAATGAGGCCCAGAGAATCGAAACAAATCTTATAATGCGAGATATATATTATTGCCCGACTGGGTATTATTCTAATCCTAAATCCCTGAGAGATGCATGTAAAAAAGAGGGGCGTCGATTTCGCCTAAGTGAATGCAAAGATTTTTTAGAAAATTAGGAGTTATACCAAACCAATAAAACTTCTCCAAAATATATTCCTAGAATTAGCTATAGACGAATAACACGCCCTAATTGCGTTCATCAATGCGATATACTGTTTCTCACTCATGATTACTATAGGAGTAAAAAATATAAAGCAGTACTTAACATTATAGACTGTGCCTCCCGATATAAGGCTTCAGTTTCTCTTAGATTAAAGAAAAGTTCTGAGGTTGCTAAAGCTTTTAGGAAAGTATACGGTAATCGAAATAATCTATTGACATGGCCAAAGCTTTTACAATGTGACGGGGGTCGTGAATTTATGGGTAAGACCTCCAGATTATTGCAAGAGTATAGTGTCACAATTTGAGTAATTGGTCCATACTCTCATCGAGGTCTTGCATTTGTGGAGCGTTTCAATCAGACACTCTCAAAAATTCTGTATAAGACCCAATATGCTATTGAATCGATAACTTCTGATCCTAAATTAATAAGAGCATAGGTTAGATTTTTACCAGAAGTTATAGACTATCTAAATAACTACCCCACACGTCTTATTCGAGAACCAGGATCAGAAAAGTGGGGGCTCGAGCCTGTGAAAGCCATTGCATTAGAACGTGTAGAATCTAGACCATCT